ACGCACGCACGCACGCACGCACGCACTTATACACGAAAGTATTCGACGCTTACATTTTTAACATTCAACGACTGAAATATGTATATTAAATTGAAGCATTTGAAACAATATGCTATGTATAGCAAGGGATAAGTCTTAAGATTACATAAGTGATATTATAAAATAATTTAACAATGTATACAGTTTTCACAATATATTCATTGTAAACACGCACCATAAGTGGCTCACAAAAATATTCGAACTCTGCAGAATCTTCATAATAACTAAGCTTCCGAAGGTCGCAGAATATAAACATTGCTCAGTTCACTGAAAGCTAGTTCAAGAGAAGCACTGATCAAATTTTCGTCGCTCAAAATTTTTATTATTAATAATATTACAAAATAAATCGGAAAAAATTAGAAATAAGCAAATCAATGAGAGAATTAATAGTGAAATGGCATAAGGAAGGCAAATCATACAGTGAAATCGCACGACTTGTCAACAGAAGCAAGTCCACTATTCATTATATTGTGAAAAAATTTAATACGCAAGGTAACATTGCAAATGAGCCCCGTTTTGGACAACCAAAAAAGTTGACTGTGAAAGAAGAAAAGATAATTATACGGAAAATTAAACAAGATCCTTTCACTTCTGCACCACAATTGGCATCAATAGTTGCTACGCAGTTCCAAAAAGAAGTACATCCAGAATTATGTCGACGATTGTTACGAAGTAATGGTTTACATACGAGTTCCAAGGAGTGTAATGGTTTACATGCACGAGTTCCAAGGAGAAAACCCTTTATTAGCAAGAAAAATAAAATTCTACGCTTAAAATTTGCTAAAGAATTTATTAATAAAGACAATTCGTTTTGGGATACAGTATTATTTTCTGACGAAAGTAAATATAATATTTTTGGTAATGATGGACGTAAAAGTGTTTGGAGAAAACAAAACACAGAATTAGAACCGAGAAATTTACGACCAACAGTAAAACATAATGGTGGCTCCGTAATGGTGTGGGGCTGCATGGTAGCTAGTGGAGTAGGAAATCTTGTGTTTATTGATGGGATCTTAGATAAAATGAAGTATTTAAAACTTTTACAAGATAATTTAAAAGACAGTGCATCAAAATTGAATCTGCCCAATAACTACGTAATTACTTTCAATCAGACAATAATCCGAAGCATTCAGCGAAAATGATCAAAGAATGGGTATTGTATAATGTTCCATATTGTCACATCCACCACAAAGTCCCCACTTAAACCCCATCGAGCATTTATGGGATGAGGTGGAAAGAAGATTAAGAAATACAGCTGTTACTTCAAAAGAAATGTTAAAACAAAATATCATTGAAATATGGCAATCAATAGACGCAAATGTTACTTCGAAGTTAGTCCACTCAATGGAAAATTGTCTTAGGGTTGTAATAAAAGCAAAAGGATCAACTTCTTATTAAAACTGTGAATTATTCAATTTAAATAACTATTAAATGTACCGTTCGAATACTTTTGTGAGCCACTTATGGTGCGTGATTACAATAAATATATTGTGAAAACTGTATACATTGTTAAATTATTTTGTAATATCACTTATGTAATCTTAAGACCTATCCCTTGTTATACATAGCATATTGTTTCAAATGCTTTAATTTAATATACATATTTCAGTCGTTGAATGTTAAAAATGGAAGCGTTCGAATACTTTCGTGTATGAGTGTATGTATATATTTCTACACCGTAAAAATTTTGTTAGTATACATATTACGTAAAGGTCATTTAATATAGGTAAAGGTTGTTGTTATTTTCCTCTTTATATTTTATATTTTCCTAGCTTAGAATCACAGATCGAAATCCCTGCATGCATTTCCTAATATTGATTAATTCTATGTTTCTCTCTAATATAATTTATATGTGATTCCGTTCGAAAATAATTTATATACTTTTCGCTCTCAGGGATGGAGATGATGGGAGCAAAAAACAGAGTCTATGGAAGCACTATTATCAGCTCTATGTACGCCGTGGGTGAGATTTTATTGGGATTGATCGCCAGTTGGCTCAAATCATGGCGAATGCTTCTTAGAGTAGTGTACGGGCCTGCACTGCTAGCTATTTTCCTGCCTCTAGTCATTCCAGAATCAGTTAGGTAATTCTTTTCAATCTTAATGAATACTATCGTATCGGGATGTTATTTTTGATCGATTAGAAAGATTTTAAATCGAATGTTATCTACAATTTATTAGATTACATGTGTAATCGATTCTGGACATTTATCCTGAATTCAGTTGAAATGTAATTAATTGCATTAAAAGTTCGAGAGAGAGAGGTTTGTTAGAATTATTAAATATCTTAATTTTAACTTTTTATACTAAACTATTAAACGGAATTTACTAAAGAATTTTTATATGCGGTAGAATTCTTTTATCTATGCGAAAATTCTTTTACTATGCGAAAATTCTTTTATCTATGCGATAAGTATAACACACAATGCAATTTTGAAGGTGGCTACTGTCTAAGGATAAACACGAAGAAGTAAATAAAATATACCATAAAATGGCCCGAATGAACGGTTTGCAAGTAACAGACGAGGCCATCAATACGTTCAAAGAACTAAGTATAGCTAAGACCAAAACGGTACGTTTCTTTTTTTTTTTTTGCAAATCCGCATTATAGCATTAAAAATGTTTTATTTGCAAATTGGCTACTGTTTAAAATACAATTATTGTCCGTAACTTTCAGTACAGTCAGCAACTTTTGTATTATTTTATAAACGCCAATATAAAATAATAAATTGGATATGATCTTTGTAACAACTACAAGATTGATATGATTTTTCAGAAAAGCGAGCTGGTGGTATCGGATGAGAAGAAACCGATTGTGCAAGTTTTACATAGCTCAGTGATACTCATTCGATTGCTAGTCTGCTCGTTCTGCTGGCTTACGAACGGGTTCATTTATTATGGATTGTCGTTGAATTCCGTATCGTTAGCTGGGGATAAGTACATCAATTTTGTGCTAACCGCGGTAGTTGAGATACCAGCATATTACATCAGCTGTATACTGAACAATTACATTGGCCGTAAGCCAACGCTTTCCAGTGCATTCTTGCTGAGTGGAGTATTCTGCCTTGCATCCCTGTTTATACCAGCAGGTAAAGAGATAAAAAAAAAATTTCTCAGATAGGGCATACTCGATTTTTTCATGGATGGGTCGTTTGCAAAAATGGTTGAATCGAATTTATTAAAGAAATTTTTGCAAGGAGAGAATTTTGAAAATATTTTTTGAAACAATAATGTTAATAATGTGCACTTCGCTATATTATGTCTGCTATTATTTAAACTGTGAAATTCAGTGTTGGAACAGATACCGTTTGAAAGGTATCTAGATATAGATATAGGTATTGTGTGGGAAAAGTATTTAGATATAAGTATAGATACATTTTTTTACAATTACCTAGGTATAGATACAGATATAAATAAAAAGTATCTGAAAATTTAGATATTTTTTAGGTACTTTCAACAAAAAAAGAAGGAAAAGTGGGGGAAAACAGGAAAAGTAGAAATAATAAGCAACGTAAATTAAATATCACATTTTGTTTGTTTATTTTAACAAAACCTAGACGATAACATTAAAATTGGTTTCATTAATAGTTTTAAATAAAAATCGAGTATTATTTAGTTTTACATGCATATGCATATCTACAAAATTTTTAGTTTTAATGAAAAGCTTTAACCATAAGAATATCGGTCTTTAATTAGTACTATATCAGCGCATAGGTACTAGTACTAGATTGCTAATTTCTGAGTTGATTTAATATGCTTTTCAACAAGTGACACAGATGACACGGTATGATGCACAGTGTACCATTACATCCTTGTTGTTCGTCAATATTAAACAAGGATGAGATGATCACCGCATTATACCGTGTCGCTTGTAGGAAGGCATTCTTAATGGCGGCGACAGTATTTGTGTATAAATACCTTGTATCTATGTATCTAAAACTTAAAAGATACCGTATGAAAAAATAATTAGATCCGGATATAGGTATCTCCGCCTATAAGGATCTAGGTAATGCACTTAACTAAAGTATCTAGATACTGTATCTAGATACTTTTACCTAGATACGTTCCAACACTGGTGAAATTTTTCTTTCCTCTTTTTTCCTTTTCTTCACAAGCCTACAATCTCTATACTTGCATATGTCCTCGTTGAAATCGCGAAGTTTAATATATTGCAAGCGCGCGTGAGTTATAAACGCGCAAAAATATAAGTTGCAAATGTATGACACGTTGCGTTGCATATTACTTAAGTAATACTCGATTGTTACGATAAGATCGAGATGATATCACGTTTTAACTGATTGTGAAATTTAACGAAATTGAATTTTGTGTCATTTATCTGTAAATTGCATAGTTACTTGGGTACATATGTAATCCACATCCAAGGGCAAAAAGTGTGCTAATGCTACGTGTCGGTGTCGTTCGGCTTAATCGCGACTATATTGTTCGTAATTATGTCGGTTATAATGGGTTACCATGTATAGAACGCAATCGGTACTTTATCGCCGGTAATTTATCGCCGCTGTTTTAGGAGTCTGGAATTATGAATTTTTACTTTTATACATGGCTGGAAAGTTGTGTATCGCTATGGCGTTCTCGACTATGTACCTCTTCACAGCAGAGCTGTTTCCGACGACGCTCAGGAATTCCCTGCTCGGAATTTGTGACATGATGAGCCGCATTGGAGCAAGCTTATCCCCGCAAATACCTCTTTTGGTAAGTCAAAAAATACGTATTGCAATAAACAGGTGCTCTCTTAACTCGCGTTTCTTAAATTGTGCTTTAATAACGCTACGCCATATAAAGGTGTGATAAAAATAAGATATAAAGTATACTTACAATTAGTGTTTTTATTGCACGATTTTATTTAGTAGTTGCAATTTCATTTATATAATAAATGTAAATTATTTCTAAAATGAATATAATATGTATATATATATCCGTTTTTAAATTTGATAAATGTGATATAATTTATATCATTGGAGTAGTATTTTATAATATTTTATTTCAAACAAAAAATATTCTGCAACAGCATATTTGCACAATCTTTCTTGAAACTTTCAATTAGGTAGGTACATGAAATTTTCAATTACTATTAAGAAATTTATCATACAAAATACAATGTTCCAAATGTTTCGCTAATTATATACATGTCCTTATTTACGTTCAGGCACGAATAATGCCTTCGCTGCCACTAATCCTGTTCGGATCCATGGGTATGATTGCTGGCATCCTGTCTCTGATTTTTCCGGAAACTTTAGGAATGAAACTACCAGACACCGTACGAGAGGCAGAGGAGATCGGTAAAGTCAAACAAGACTCCTAAAATTCCGAATTTTACCATGCTGCCGTTCCAAATGAGCTAAGGGAGCTTTTATACAGATGCCTAGCATCTCGCTGTTTTCGTTTCTCCATGCATTTTTTCATAACTCCTCCCTTCTACATTTTATAAAGATGCTAGTTACCTCTTCACAAGATGCTAGTATGTGGATGAAATCATTTCAGTCTTTGAGACTCGCGTGATAATAAAAAAATATGAAATATTAATTCTTTTTTTTTATGTACCCATATGAGATAGTATATCACTTGTGATCATGATACTAATACGTATCGCTATAAAACTATGGCTATACTTACATAAAGAAAATTTCGAAGTAATAATGTTTATCAGATTAATATACAATGAAGAAACCAAGATGTTTTTTAAGGCTGTGTTCGGGAAACGTGTTATCAGCACTATTGTATCATGCTATCTTTATCATTCAGTCGTAAAACAAGTTGATACAGACTGCGTTCCACTTATGGTTATTCTTTTTCCTCTTTGTGATCGTTTCATCGACAATTATATTTCTTGATATGTGTTTTCTGTTTCTTCTGAAGTTCGTTAACATTTATCTCAAGCAACAGAAAACGAAAAATGGGATAAGAGGCAAAAAGGCAAAATACAAAAAATAGCAAAAAGCAAGAAACGGGAAACAAAAAGCACATTGTAGAATAGGCTTTAACGCTCGCAACGCTCGCGATCGCATCGTTTGTCCTTGTTTAACATTTGATAAACAAGGATGAAATGTTTCCACGAGCGTTGTGAGCGTTAAGTGGAACGCAGCCACAATGATGCAATAGCGCTGATAGCATGCTTTTCAAACGCAGCCAAGGAAGTAATGAATTTGAGTCCAGGTAAGCATCTGTGTAAAAAAACTCACATTTATTTAGGATGAATGCACCGTTTGCGTCCATTTTGGCCACCTTCGTCATTTATTAGGTTTTTCTCGTTTAGGGTTGGCTCTAGTGCGTTATTTCTCTTACTTAATAATGAGATAAGTTACCTTACGTTTCTTTTTTCATATTATAAAAAAATTATTTTCTACCGAATTCACTCAAGACAGTCATCTTATCAGAAACGATTAAAATATATGAAATTTTGCATTTTTGTTATTTATTATCTATTCTATTTTGAATAAAAGTTTGTTGTAATGCTAAATCTTTTAAATGGTCAAAATTAGCACTGTGGTTATATATGGCCATATATGGCCACAGTGATATGGGTGGCCAAAAATAGTGCAAAATGGAATTTTTGCAACTATTTAACTTTTTCATTATTCGCTTTTTTCCCTAAAATTTTTTTTAATATTAAGAACTGAGACATTAAACAATGCATTTAAGTAATAAATACTATCTCCTTTTTTATATATTATTAAAAAAAAAATTTTTTTTAAAGTTATAGAAATGCTTAAGTTGACCACAGACGGTACATTCACCCTACTATTGTTTTAATATGTGGCGAGATGAATGGCAAGCTATCGGGGCCTAAAACACATTAATGGGTCAGTTCTAAGCAGAATCGTAAGACTCATAATGTGTATATAAGAACTTATAACTAGTATATTCTAATTTTATGCGTATCGTAAGACGTACGATTATTCGTAAATATCTACGATTTCTTGCAAATTTTATGGCTAATAAGAAGCTGTGTGCAAAAATATTATATAAAGGTATAAGCACTTAAAAATTTTTACAAATCTTACAGGAATATGTTACGAGCCTTACGATTCTTGTAAGTCACACGTACCTCGATTCTATAGCTCTTAACGACAGTGTCAGTATCGTTATATTGTCGTGCAAGTATTATATATACATAATGATGATAAAAAAGCTACGCAACGACAATATACCCATATAGTATCGATTATTGCGGAAAGCTTTCAGAAATGTTTCAACCTTTCACGTCTCATGTGCAACCATTCTGAAAAGATTCTGCAATATGTCGTATGAAATGTTTTAACAGAATGTTTCTAAAATCGATCATCTGCAATAAATTGAAACATATTTAAACAGAACAAAAAATCATCATGATGTTAAAATGACTCCAAAATGTTTACTAAAAGTCATTTTTTTGTTCAATCACGATTCAGTTAACGACATTTTGATGTGTTTTGTGACTTAAGTTCTACTTTAATTGCGAAAAACTTTTGTACCCAGATAAACAAAGCGTGATTAACCATATGAAGCAAACTAATGCACTGCATGAGTGTTGAATAATTGTTGTTTGTTTGCCGTCGTTATATCAAGTATCTATCGTACTGAGCAACATGAATGATTATACAAGTATTTTATAGTTGATGGAATTTTGAAAGCAAGCAATCAGAAATATTAGTATCCCTGATAGCAAAGCCTGCGGAGTCAGATTTTGAACAAAGCCTGCTACCAATTTTTGATTGCAGAAAGGCACCAAATTGTATACAGAATTTGTATTATCTGACATTGTCAGCAAATTGCTGTCAGAAATATAACAAAGCCTGCTAGACATGCTATGCCAGCAGATTGGTAGCAGAAACCGAGCAAAGTCTTGCATAACCTGACGGCAGATTGAGAGCAGATTGAGAGCAAAACCTAATTCGAACAGACCCTGCTCGGTTTCTGCTAACACTCTGCTGGCATAGCCTGTCAACAGGCTTTGTCGACAAATCCATAGCCAAATACGGACAGATGGCTATGGTTTTATAGTTAAAATCTGATGGAGTTTGCTACCAATTTGGCTCCAAATTGCTAACATTTGGTTATCAGGGATGGTATGTTACTAGCAATATGATAGCAACATGACAACTGATGATGAGGAAATATACTAATGTCAACAAATTGCCATCAATTTGCTATAATCTAATGTCGAATTCATATGAGTAGGGGAGAATGGGGTAACGCGGCGCAGTGGGCAATACGGCGCATTGTTATTGTAGCAATTTGCATTGGCCGACACTACGAAAATTAATGTTATTTAAAAAACTTATTTTAAGAACAAATAATCGCATAAAGCTCGTTAAAGCTTGTAAAGCAAAACTCATCGACTTAACCTCAAAATATAATCTCTCAAAATACTGTACATTTTCGTTTTTATTTCCTGAACGTGAATATCTGACGATAAAATATGACAGATTTGTAAGAGAATAACTACGTTTTTTAAAAGTACAATACTTACTTTTATATCAGCATAGGTATTCAAGTGATCAAGAATCAACACTTACGCGCTTCACCGCCATCTCAATGCGCCAGCCTACCCTACCATTTTAAACACGGTTTGCGTCGCGTTGCCCGCGCGCACTTTTCTTTAAAATTATTTATTATTGCAATTAAATAAACTATTATAAATATGAAAAAGTATAGGGCTTAAAAGATTAAAAATTCAGCTTTCCAAATAATATCTTAATGTCATGAATTGATTTTGAAGAAACGAAATTACATGAATGTATTTGAGGTGCAAATCTGACAATAAAAGTATATCATACTAAATTTAGACGATAAAAATTAAAAAACATAATGACTTGTTCTGAAATTTCGTATACATCATAGTTAAACATAATTGCATCAAATAACATTAATTTTCGTAGTGTCGGCCAATGCAAATTGCTACAATAACAATGCGCCGTATTGCCCACTGCGCCGCGTTACCCCATTCTCCCCTACTTCCAGTGGCGCCAACGTTTTGCTACTATCATATCCGTAAAATTAGACGTTTTTAACCTATAATTCAGTTAACAGTTTGTACTCAAGCCAACTAATTTTGTTTGCATAGTATTTTAAAAGAAGTTATTTTGTGAGAAAATGGAAATTTCGCGTGAAAATTTTCGGGCAATGATTTTTTACGATTACAAATGTAATCTAACTCCGAAACAATGCATCGATCCACTTCATTTGGCTTTTGGGGATGAAGTACCATGCAATAGGACTGTTTATAATTGGTTTGCCGAATTCCAGCGTGGATGTACCTTTCTTTGTGACGAATTCCGTGAAGATCGTCCATCCACGTCTATTGTTGCCACTAATGTTGATGCTGTGCGTGAAATGATTGAGCGAGATCAGCATATAATATACCGCGAGATTCAGGCATCCTTAGGCATTGACATAAAAGCAATACATATGATTTTTGCATGATCACTTGAACGTACGGAAACTTTGCAATCGTTGGATCTCACACAATTTGACCGAAGCTCAAAAACAGGCTCGTATTAAATGGAGCAAAGAAATGCTCAAGAAATTCAATCGAGGTCGGTCAAATTTGATCTACAACATCGTTTCTGGGGACGAAACATGGATCTATTCATGAGCCCGAAAGTAAACAACAATCCACTGTTTGGGTATTTCAAAATGAACCGAAACCAACAAAAGTTATTCGTTCACGCAGTGCTACCAAGCAAATGATTGCTTGTTTCTTCGGTTATATCGGACATGTGGCAATCGTGGCTTTAGAGGATCGAAGGACAGTAAATACCGATTGGTATACAACAATTTGTTTGCCAAAAGTCATAAATGAATTGCGTAGAACAAACCGAAATCGTCGCATCATCCTTCGTCATGACAACGCCAGCTGTCACACAGCACGTCAAACCGTTGATTTTTTATTTAGTAAAAATATCGAATTGATGACTCATTGTCCGTATTCACCTGATTTATTACTTAATGACTTCTTTTTGTTCCCAAACATTAAAAAAAAGATGCGTGGTGAGCGATTTGAGTCGTCTGAAGCAGCTGTTGAAACATTTCGTACACTCATTTCTGAGATTACAGCCTCAGAGTGGAAAAAATGCTTCGAAAATTGATTCGAGCGTATACAAACATGTATCGATCTTAAAGGCGAATATTTCGAAAAACAATAAAGCCATTTACCGAATTTTACATGTTTTTTTCATATTGTTTGCAGAAACTTTTCCAGCAGCCTACGTATTTCGTAATTTTTATGAAATATTTCACTTTTCAGTTGAAATATTTCTGAGAAATTTCTAAAAACTTTCAGTACTGTATGGGTAACGATATCAAACTAACATTAAAAATTACAGAATCGAAATATTGGAGTG